ATCTCCAGAGATGAGTGTGGGCTGGCACAAGCCCTGTGGCCACAGCGAGCGGCGGGGGCGGCGCGGGCGCCTTCATGTGCCCCGTCCTGCCGCAGGCTCGCGCCGAGCCAGGCCTGGGAGCAGCATCTCTGCGCTGAGCCGCGGATTTGGCTCGGTGTCTGCGTTCCTGCTTCTCCCGCTAACATCCATGAATCCTGTGACTGAGCTTGGAAACTACTGTCCCAGGCTGAGGATTATCAGCGCTCGGGAGGAAAAGGCATCGGAACCGCGGCACCCAGAGAAATCAAGTGTAGGACAAAAACAAACCTTCCGCAGTAGTTGTATAAATGCCTTCCTGCTACAGATTTCAAAGGCCAAACAAGAATCCCAGCTTGGTTTTTTTTCCTTTTACTTTTCTTCCCCCCCCTGCTTTTATTCTTGCTCCCTGCAGTTTGTGCAGCGATGCCCAGAACAGACAGTGAAACCCGAGGTGATGTATCCTGCACAGTGATGAATTTACTCAGGGCTGACCATCTGACACAATTTCCTCCCAGATCTCAAAGCCTCTGCTTTGAGCATGCTGGGCAGAGACAGGATGCTTGTGGGTGTGAGAAAGGGCCTGGCAGATGACTAGCCCAAAGCCATGACCTGATGGGGGGGTGTGTGTCACCCTTTAGTCCTAATGCCAGGCTTAGCGCAGGCTCCCTTTTGGCTGGTTTTTTCCATGTTTACTGTAGTTACAGGACAACATTTACAAAGAGAGAGTTACACAAGCGATTTTAAAGAGGCAGGGTAAGGACACAGCCTATTGTTAAGGCTGCACTTTCCACCACCAGACCTGGCTTCCATTTGTTTCCAACACTTCTGCCACTTGCTCTGAAATTGTCCATGACGTTGGGAAGCTTCCCATGCTGTTCTGCAAGTCCTTTGGAAAACAGGGATTTGTAACTCCCATCCCATAGTACAAACATGCAAATGGAGAAAATGGACTTCAGTGTGCACAGACAATCTGAATTTTGGCAGATCTTCAGAGTGAGTAGATTGTTAAAATAATCAATTCCTAAGAAAATAAATTAGAGCCTGGATAACTAAAATGACCCCTTGTCTTGGGTCACCAACAATGCTCAGTAGTTGTGAGCCACAGAGCATTTCTCTACCACTTGATCTGACCAACAGCTGGCACTGGCACTAGAAGTGGATGTCACTGTACCCTTGAAGAGAATTTTCTCCATTTATCTGCTGACCTCCAAGAGGAGAAACATGAAAGACTACACGTCTAGAGGAGAAAAAAATCTCTGGATCCTTCACACCTCCTGTCCTTCCAGACACTTATCCCAGTGCCGTGTGGGTCTCTCATCTCTCCTACAAGCCCTTTGCCAGCCAGTCTAGTGCATTCCCTCTTCCCACCTTCTTCTCCTGGAGGCCTGCCACTCCAGTCCCCTTCCTTGCACACCCTCCCAGGCTCCAGCCAAGCTGCTCCCTCCTCTTCTCCCTGTTCAGCAAAGCACAAACCTGGGGGCCTACAAACCAAAACCAAGGGGCAACAACAGATCTGAGGCTCTGTCCTGACAGAGCATCATCTATCTTATCTGTAACAACTCCCCGGGAAGGAGGTTTCCTTGCCTGCCTAGGTGGTCTTGCAACAGTTTTATGATGATAACAGGATGTTTTCTCAACATCCAGCTTAAATCATCCTGGCAAATTAGCAAATGAGTAAATTAAGGTGCCATGGATATCCGGGACTTTAATAACGACTATTACGTGCTGGCAGACTGCTAGATTGCACAGCGGTTTTCTTTTTGTTGCACTGAATAAATTTAGTTCTTTCAATCTCACATTTCCTCATCTCTTCTCGTGGTTTCCTTCTGGACACTCTCCAATACACCCATGTCCTCCTCAGAGCAGGGCACCCTAAACTGGATTTGATGACACTGATGACGGCTCCACAGGGCCACACATGAGTAACTCACCTCCCGCACCTTATGGAGGACACTCCTTCAATATAACTCAAAACAAGATTTGTTTCTTTTGCAATAGCCTCTCACTGTTGATTCATTTGTAATCCACTAGAAATCCTGATTTTTTTTCTACTCATCCTTCTCCAGCTTAAACCTGACTTGGTAAATGTGCATTTTGATTTCTCCTTCACAAATGAATCACTCTCTGACTTCTTTTATCTCTTATCTGGATGTACTCTCCAATTTCTTAAGGTCACTCTGAACCCTGACCCTATTCTCCCAGCTGCCTGCAATCCCTCCCAAGCTGATGTCATCTGAGTGTTATAAACATAGCTCCATCTTCCAAATCATGACTGAAAATATTGCAAGTTTCCTCCCAGAAAGTGACCTTGCTGATATATCACACATTACTGCACTACTTGGATCAGTGGAGAGATGAAAGAGCAAGTTTTTTTCAAGCTTCACTCTCTGTGAAGGTATTTAGAAATGTCACATTTATCTAGCAAGCTGCAACTTCCGAAAACACAGACATTAATTCCTGTGATAAAGGTAGGATGCATTAAATTCAATAGGAACTAACTAATAAAATTAATAAATGCAATGGGAAGACTATTTCCCAGTGAACTCCGTTCTGGGGTCAGCCAGCTACACTTTCTCACTCACAAGCTTAGACAACCGAAGCCACTGGATGAACCCAGCAGTGCAAACTTATCCATCCTGCCACGTGAAGACAAAGATTTAGCAAATAATGGATCACAACCAATTTCTGGGATCAACACAGGAGAAGCATATCAGGGTACAGTTCATTTAAAACTGTTGCTTTACTTTTATAATGCTGGAACCACCAGGCGCCATTTTAAATTATTTTAATATCGCAGCATGCGGAAGCCAAACCAAATTTCTCATCGGAGTTAATAATTATTAATTTTTTTAAAAAATGCTAAACTCTAGTTTTAATATGTCACATCAAATGCTTATCCCAGCTCTACTCAAGATTCTCAAACTAAGCAGGAAGATAAGGACCAGGGAAGTCTCTGGCAGGACGAGCCTACTTGAAAGGAGCTTAGGAAGTTCTGGTTACTGAGTTTCTGTAGCTGTACAGATATAACCTCTGAGAAAACATTCTGGCAATTAAGGAAACACACTTTAACACCCATTTTAATTGGCAAAATAATTTTTCCATTATTTTCTCTTCAGTGCTTATAACCCTACAGACCATTATTTTCCTGAACATTTTTCAGCAGCAGCTTTTCCACGATATGCACAAGAGCATCTCTCAGGCAGAGTCTTCTGAAATAACTTTAGGGGAAAGTCTGAGAGCTGGTACTATACATGTAATATGGCATCATGAATACATCTAATTCTAAAAACTCTTCATAATTTTTAATTCTTCAGAACCCAGCTCAGGAGTTTTCCCCCTTCTCTTCCCCGTGTGCTCAAGCTACTGTCCTTCAGCCTGACTGTACTATACAAGTTGCACATTTTAGACTCCAAAATATTTGTTTCCATAACTTGTGCATCTGAAAAGCTCTCCACATCGTGCAGAGTTCTCATAAACCCCATAAAACAGGAGTTAATACAGTTCCCAAGACCCAAAGCTGCCGACAGCCCTGGTGAGACTGCAAAATACCTGCAGCTCCTGACCAGCTGCAAGCAACAACATTTCTATTTGCAACAAGTTAAGAAAACCACTTTTTACTAACCACAAAATGGCTCTGTAATAAGAAGGCAACAAGCACCTGAAAGACTTCTGGCTACAAAAAGAGCCAGCACTAAATAAAGCAGAGACAGGACGTGGCAGGAGATGCACACTGTGCAGTGGCTCTCACCGGCCAGCTCCGGCCCAGCCTACCCGTGTGAATGGAGCTCTATTTATAAGCCCTCCACTCCTTTTTTTTTTTTTTTTTTTTTTTTTTTTTTCAAATGACCTTAATATAGTGCAGTTGTTATTTTGTTTCTGTTGAACTTAGCAACAGGAAACCCTGTCAGTCCTGCAGCAAACTTTCCATTCCCCTGGCACTCCCATTCCTGCCTCGGAAAAGCCAGATTTCTAAAGAGGTGTTTGACGAGGCGGGAGGGAGAGGGAGAAGAAAGCACACACACAAAAATCAAAATGCCCGTAAAACATGCAAAATGGAAGCCAAATGCAGTAAGTTTCTTTTATGTCTGTTTGAAAGGAAAAGGCAATGTCCTAATTTGCATTTTCTAAAGATATCTTAACTTACCACCAGATTCCTAAGTATTGTTCAGGAATACCTTTAATAAGAGGTCAGTAAAAATAAAAATAAAAAAAATCATCAGCATCTTCACACTCACATATTCCAGTAATGACAGACTTCCTTATCAGACAGTAGAAATTTTAGATTGGAAAGTTATTTTCTCTAGTCCCTGGCTAATTCACTGAGCAAACAGCTTCAGAAATTAAGCCTTAACTTGTTAAAAACACAATAAACCTGATTTTATTACAAGCTTTGGCAAGACTGTTCTGCTGCTCAAAGAGCTTTATTGCATGATGAGCAAAGATTTTTGGAGCTCCACCCTGCAGTGTGAACTCATCCCCACCGTGTTTTCTCTTTTAACAGCTTCATAATGGTAGGGGAACACACAAACACAGCTGCTCAAAGGCAACGTGCACCAACGCAGGCTGACAGCAATTTAGCATTTACAAAACACTTTTTCAGGTACAAGAAACTATATATAAAATACATCAGCAAATGCAAATCCAGCCAGGAAAGGTCACACCAAGAAAACACAGCTCTTGACAAAGCAGAATATGTATTAGGGGTGCTTTAAATCAAAATTCTGTTCACATCAAGCCCAGTATACACCTTCTCTTTTAGTCACAGACAGTCCTTAAATATGGCAAAGCACAAGTAATAAAAAACAAAACCAACAAATTCCTGATTCCTGGCATGACCTTTTTATACTGTTCCACCAACATGAACAACATGGGCTTTCACCCCACATTTGATCCCTATATGTCTTCCCTTTATTCATTTTTCTTCCAGCTAAGGCACTAACACTCCCAGCTAATGATGCCTTTAGACCTCGGAGTCTGTGCACACACCAGCTTTCACTGCAGCCACGGTTCCTTCTACCAAAAACTCTGCAGAAGGACAAAGCACAGGAAGGATGGAGAGACTCTCCAGGACCACGCAGGCAGCAGCTGGGTGCAGGGACCTTGAAAGTGCTGCTGGCTCCACCACAGCATCACCAACCCCAAGTACATTTCAGGACATGGTTTTTGTCAAATCATACAGAAACCTTGGTACAACCAGGCCCCACAAGCAACTTCGTGGCTCAATCTCTCTGTCACTGGCTGAGAAAACATAAAGGTGGCTTAATCCAGCGATTGAAAATGCAAGGTCTAAAAAAGCCCAGACTATTTTTAAAAGGCTAAAACAACGTCATGGTGATGGAGGCTGTTCAGCAGAAGGTACAGAAAGGAAACCAGCAGGTTTGGTGGCTGGTTACAGCAGCGGTGGCGTGTCTTCAAACAGCACAGCAAGAGACAAGGTGACAACACGTGCACTCACCGCCTCCTCGCGGGCTGCGCTCCCGGTGCCGTCTTTCAGAAAATCCACCTCGTCCTCAGTTTTCATTTCCAGCTTCCCTGTGAAAACAGAGGGTCCCCAAAGGTAATTTAAAAACAAATTTCTTTCAGTGCTACTAATATTTTCCTGTTTACTCAAAACAGTCTCAAAAAAACCACCCCAAAATGAAAAGAAAGCTCAATGCCCAAACCCCTTCAACAAGTCCATTTAAACCCCTTCAGCAAGTCCATTTGACTTCTAACATCTGGTTTCATTCCTGACTTTCCCCCCTGGTTTTTATTAGTTTTAACAACTATCGTGTCTGGGACCGAAGGAAACTATGAAACAGCAGCAAGCACAGGGTAAAACTCCTGAAAAGCTGAAGGTGAGGCCAAGCACATCTGCATGTATTTGCCCATGTATTTATTTGGCTCCATTTCATCTAGATAAAGAAGCAAAATTTTTGCTGTTTTTCTTCTTACCATAACCCCAAAAAATAACTCAAAAAACCAGCCTTGCCTTCTCTCAAGAGGCATTTTAAGTGTTGAAAAAAAATATATAATCTATAAACTGCAAAAATTCATCCCACCTGCACTGCCTTAAGGATGACAATCCCACCTCTGGACTAGGAAGGCAAACCCTTTTGCTGCCGGAGTTTACAAAGTCACGGTTGATTCTCCCCTTCCTCATGCTCTCACAATGGTGTCACTACCACAGTAATACAAATACCATGTCCCAGCTGCTTTCTCTGCCCAACAAAACTTTCATTAGTCACCATTCCCCAGGGGTTCCCCCAGCTTACCTTTTCCTGGCATGAAGTCAACATCCTAATTCGCTTTCAACCCTAAGCTAATGACTCTCACGACACACGGGACACTTTCTGAGGAGTGAAGCGATTTGACCAAAGCCGCCCAGATGGAAAGTGGCTGTGTCAGGGCTAAACCCCCCCCTCTAATCCCACTCCCTCTCTCATTTCTACTAAAAACAAACACTGGATGGATGACAACGCCTTCTTAAGGGCGACGCGTGTTTGCAGTGAGTTTACCGTTCAGGGATTTAGCAAGCAGAGCCTCCCATCCTCACGGGGAAGTTGATGTTACAACTGTCACCAATGGTTTTCCACTGGCTTCAAATCTACCCTTGATTTTAGGGACTATCTGGTTTTGCAATGATTTTGTCTCAGCTGGATGAGTTTGTGGGCAGACTCAAAAATCAGAGGGAAAGCAACAAATTTCCGTTGAGTGCCACTTGCTGGGAGATCTGCTCGGGGTCACGGCAGTGCCGTGATGGGTCAGATATTGGTCCAAGGACAGAACACTCAAGGAAGAAACATTTAGTGCACTGAGGATGGAAGAAGCAAGGGTGTAGTGATACCCTGTGCTGCCTAAGAACTGGAGGACAAAGATGTGCCCTCAGGATGAAATTCAAGAGAACAACTTTTCGTACTCTGCCACTTTTTCCTAAACTTCTGTTAAGAAAAGTATCTCAAAGGAAAAGCTCTATAATGCTGTCACAGAGGTCTCTGGGCACAGAGCACCTAATTACACATGGGGTCCCATTAGTGACATTTGTTACCTGTTCATCCTGCCACTCTATCAGGGGGAAGGAAATACCAAGTGTTCTTCCATAGGGAAAGTGTCCCTGGTAAGTATGAAGTGAAGACTGGTAGAGTTCAAAATAGGGTGATATACTTCCATCTGTCAGCGAATGTTTTCTTGAAATGCTGAGATCTACAGGAGATACACTGGGATATTTCTCCCAGGAGAAAAGCTATGGAGCAGTAATTACAGTATTTCTTAATCTAACATGACAAACCCCAACCATACAATCTAACGTTGCCAGGTTTGGTTTCTGCCAAGAAACTGCAACTACTCCAAGGTGTTTTGTCAGCATAAATTCATGCCATTTCTTCTCTTCTCACCCAGCCCGGCTACTGTAGTATGATTTCATATCCTAACTCCCTTCTTTTTTAATGAGTAGTATCTACCTGCCTGGCTTGCAAAAAATGTGCTCGCAGAACCCATTACTCAGCTGCAATGCAGTTCTGAGTCTAAAGCCAACAGCAGGAGGAGATGCCTTAGGAAAGCAGGATCTTCCACCTTCATTACCTTCCTTCAGTGTTATGACCAGTCACTAGATATTTGTTTGGATAAGGAAATTAGCCTTTTGAAGTTTTTGCTTAGGGAGTAGGTGGAAACTAAGCAGAGGCAATGAGATAAACAGGTGTATGTTTGGGAGTAGCTCCACAATATAAATAAAAAAATTAAAGAGCTCAATGATTTGGAGTAATGGTAACAGCAATTATCAGCTGATTACATCTCTGATAAGTTACCATGACAATAAAACCCTCTGACTACACGTGTTTCTGAGAAATGGCCTCATGACCTACACTTCCCTTGGGAAGGCTTCATTGTATTCCATTGAAAAAAGATGTGATTCATTGTGTGCACTGACGACTCTGTCGTGGACACAAGATCCTCTGTACAAACCCAGCCTGCAGGGAAAACTGCCCAGCACTGGCACAGCAAAGAAGAATTGAAGGCTACCACTGAAATCATACACAAAATGTGCCACCCAAGGCTAGACATGGACATGAAGAATGTACACAGCAATAATAATAAACAATAAATCAGTTCTCTTGAATTACTGCCATGTCAGAGTTCTAGATGATGCTTCATACAAGGTGAGTTTCTAAAACATTTCGCATAGCAAACTTGGATCCATAGCAGCTGCTTGTCTCTGCTTTAAGCTAATATTTTATTTGCATTTCCCTAACATTTTGCTTCAAAAGAATCCCGAAGTACTTCAAGAGAAATTATTACAGTTGAACTTTTGGTCTGTGCAGCATCTCATTGCAAATAAACAATTTTTGCCTAAGGAGAGGTCAGACCGTTGTATCCCAAGACCTTTTAGATCTAAATCCTTACTTATTTTAAACCAGTAACAGGATCACTTCCTTTCCCCCACCCCTTTCCATATCCTACCACAGAATGATGCCTTAACATCACTATCCTACTTTAGCTACTTTCTTATTGGACTGTCTAGGCCCTTTTCCTTTTAAAACCTTGCCTAGAAAACGTCATGCCTCCAAGAATCCAACCACAGATAAAGACCTGGACTGCACAGAGGGAGCCAACAAAGCCACAGGTTCCCGGGGAAAAAGGAGCCCTGCCAGGTATTGAGTTACAGCCACTCCCATCCTATTGAACTGTCAAACCAACACAGTATTAAAACAGGTTCCTTCTAAAAACAGCTTTCAAATCCACTTCTAAATCTTTCTGCTTATTTACTAATGATCTCCTGACTCATGGTTACTGGTTATCTCTTGACACAGAAGTGTCCTAAAAATCCTGAACTCAATGAAAAAGGGATTTGCTGGACCCACCACCGAGCCCCCCCAATCCTTTCTCCTGCCCCCAGTTATTCTGCCATCATGTATCAGAACAAACGCTTTGCCATCATTCTCTATTGCATTAAGACCAAAAAAACCAAGTCCCAGCATTAAAGCAGTGAAACAGCTTTATAACTTCACAATTTCTTGATTTATATCATAGCAGATTTTTTTTTTAATTGTTTAAATGCTTTGTTTGTTTGTTTGTTTGTTCAGTGCTGGGAAAGCAAGAGGCACTATAGCATTTTCTCACAGCAGAGAAAAAAAAATGGCAACTGAAAAAGTTCAGCTGCTTCCATTTAACAGCTGTCTGAACAGGTGGAATATGAAGATCAGATTAGCTCCATGCTTCAGTACCAAATTCACCTATCATTTAATTCCAGTCTGGAGCAACAAACCCCCCCTTTTTTTTTTGTTATTCAATTTACCCCCTTTTTTTCCCTTTTTGGAGTTACCTTATGATGTTTTCTATTAGCTCCAGTTGCACGGACACCAGGCATCTGAGCTGTCCCCAAGTCCCACCGCTCTCCCCCATCACACTCATCCACGGGGAACGCCCGTTCCGCTTCCCAGCCGACAGCAGCAGGAAAAACTCATCATCTGAGTTCCAGTACTGCTTAAATGCACTGGAAAGCACCACCGGCTGCTCTGCCCGACAAAAAAGCTCTGAAGCCCGGAAAAGAGGGTGGGGGTAGGGCCCGCTGGCTTTTTAAAATGACCTAATGCCGCCAATTAGGAAACAGCTTTGGGCAGTTCAGAGGGACATTTGCAGCTGCTCCAAGTAGACAAGCAAAGAAAAGGCAGGACAGCCCCGTTGAACCCTCTGATTCCATCTTAGCAAAAATAAAGGGGAGAGAATAGCACTAAGGAAATGAACCCTCATGCCCACATGAAAGCATCTAACTCGAAGATTAAGTATTCCAAATACCTTACTCCCATTCATTCCTTCTTAGGGAGGATTCGTGTGCTAGAAATTCTTCTGTACAAAGTCAAAGGAGATGATGTCCTGTTCTTACCTCCAGCGCCATCCCAGCATTTGAATTGGAAGGTTTTATATGTAATTTCAAAATTTTCCTTTCTCAGAAGAAAAACCCCAAACCCCTACAACTTCCTCTGCAGCGCAGGCTTACAGCTCTTACTTCCTTTGCTGATGAGATGCTAGAGGGCACGCCTACAAAGAAAATCTAAAAAGTAGGAAACCAAAGGATTTTTCCTACCTGTGAGAGGCTCAGCTCCTTGCACTGCCAGGCTGACATTCTTCTTCTTTGCTGAGGAACTTAAATCCATTTCTCCATTAAGGCTGACTCCAACGTCCACTGCAACCTGGGGCTCAAGCACCCCTTTTTCTGGGGCTGGTAATTCAGAGGAACAAGGTGTCTCTGCTGCAAAAACCACTGCATCAAAGCTTTTTACTGTTTTAGGAACTTTATCCAGAGAGGCGCCATCGTCTGCCGATACCAAACTCTTCACTCCCTCATTTTCCAGTGACTCAACAGCAAGTAAACGGCAGGAACACGGTGAGAAGGGCAATTCAGGTACATCTTGGCTTTGCTTTCCATCAGGCTCATTCAAAGCCTCCCCTTGAGCTGCTTTCCCAACAGGACCAGCATCTGTCTCACTGGCCGGACAAACAGTGTCGGTGCTGGAGTCGCTGTCGCACGTGGGCTCCTCTGCGATGGGCTGGAGTGCAGCCCGGGGAAGCACACTCTCCGAATCCTCCTGCTCCTCCGGATATGCTGCCACAGGGGTCATCGTCACCGGCCTCAGTACTTCCTTACCCTCACAGGCATCACTTGGGGCTCCCGTTTCTGAGGTGTCCTTTAACTCGGGGGTGCTGCTGTGCGGGGAGATCCGCTGCAGGGTCTGACTGGGATCACGTTCTTGGTTCAGCCCTGCTTTCAGACAGGGGTCACTCTCCGCACCCAGTGACTCATCTGCTGGTGCAGGTCCGTGCATGGTGCCTTCTCCTGTGGCCACTGCTCCGGCCTTGCACGCTTCTTCAGGTTGGACTGTCTCTTTCAGCCCAGCATCCACATTGCTGCTGCCCACCACGGGTCCCCCGAGACTGCAGGCAGAGGGTTTCACAACAGCAGCAGGAAGTTCCTCTGACAAAACCTGCTCCTTGCCATTCGCATGAGCCTCCCACTCAGGCTCATCTTTGCCTCCTTCAGCCTGAGAGAGGCCCTGCTCCAGGGAGCCCTCATCCCCAGCACGGTCCCCAGGCCTGCCGGCAGCTACCCCACCGTGCTGCCAGGAGAGCTCTGCTGAGTCTGCCCCCACCGCCACTGCTTCCTGGTTTTGTTTAGAGTCCTCATTATGAATTGCAGAGGGTGTGCCCATTAAATTATCCTTGGCACAGTCTGCACCACTGGCACATGGCACTAATCCAGAGTCATTACCTTGCAGAGCTGCCTCCTGCCCAGGAGGTGCCACTGCAGCATCTCCCTCCTGACTCAGAGCCGGTCCCTCTTCTCTGGGCAGGGGAGTGGGCGATTTCACTTCATTGTTCAGCCCCTGCTGCTCTGAAGCACTTTCTGCTGTCTCTGCTTGGGTCTGGGCAGGCTCCTTCTCTGCCAGGCCTGTGCTCACGTCCTCTGGAGGGAGCGAAGCAGGTTCATGTTCGCTCTCCTGAGCAGTGACTGGTTTGAAGCTGTTGCCCATTTCATCTTTATTGCCACTTTGAGCAGCAGAAAGGCAATAGCCATCAACTTCCTGGCCTGCAGAATTTACACTTCCTCCATCTCTGGGGCTGCTGGTATCAGTTCCCACTGGCTCCTTTTCACTGCTCTCCATTGTTTCAGCCTCATGGTCAGTGATCTCACTGCTCTCCTGGCAATGTTCAGGTTCTGCACCGCTTCCACCAACATCGCTGTTTTCAGGTTCAGCATCAGCGCCATCAGTTTCCACATTGCCTGCCAGTGAGGGCAAGCTGGATTTTCCATCTGTGCAACCTGCTTCCACCTGCCTTTCTCGCTCCTTGCTCTTACTGCTGTGATGGATCTCTGAACCAGGATCAGGTTTTGATGCACATGCAGGAACCTTCACCCCATTCACTGCTGGTATTCCTTCCCCAGTGCTTGCAGTAATATCCTGCCTTGCTGTGACACAGGCATTGCCTTGGCTTTCCACGAAGTCACCGTTTACCTGAGCAGTGCACGATCCAGTCTCTTTGTTATCGCCAGTCTTGCAAAGGTCATCAGGGACATCGCCAGTGCCACCACCTGCATTTGTACCGTCCCAGGCCGGTGCCACTCCCATGTTTGCATCCTCCCCATCTAAACACTCAGTGCCATTAAAATCACTGAGTAAGGGCTGAGCAGCACTGGCTGACTCCTCCTCAGCTGGAGATTCCTCTTCCAGGTTTGCAGTCCTCTTGCCCGCCTCTGCCATCCCATCCTCTCCCTGCCGCTGGCTCGCAGCCCTCTCAGCGGCCCCGGTACAGTTCCTGCATTCAGCCTGGCCCATAACCACATCCAGGCCCTCCGAGGAAGCTGGGGCTTCACCTGCAGCTGCAACCACAGCAGCAGCACTGCCAGCTGCACACTGCTCGGCACCTCGCACTTCCTGATGGGCAATATCTGTACTGCCCAAGCCAGCCTGATCCAGAACAACTCCAGCAGATGTCATTCCAGCTGCCTCATTTGTATTTCCAGAGGGTGGAAGATTTACAGCACCGTTTACACTTGCACACGGGCTCACAGTGCATTCCTTCTCATCTGATACAGTCCCAGAGCCTTCAGCAGAGGTTGGCCCCACCTCTTCCTTTTTACACAATATCTCTGTGTTTTTACTTTCACAGAATGACTCTGGGCTGTTTCCATCCCCCAGGCTAACCAAGTTATTGGGTGCATCATTAGAAGTTCCCAAACTCCTGCTGTTGCATTTCTCCTTCTGCTGGGTTTGGTCTGAGAGCTGCCCAAAGTCCAGGTGAACCAGATCAGATGGGTTTTCCTGCCTTTCTTCTCCTGCCATTTCTTCAAGGCTCTGAGAGGTAGTGGTCAGGCGACCATCTGGCTCTGCTCCTTTAGCACAGCTGTCTCCAGAATCCCCCAGTACAGGCTCTGTCTGCTGTCTCGAACTCTGTAACAAGACACATACACACACACAAAAAAAGTGTTACTTTACTCTGTCACACAATTACCCTGTCTCCATTATGTGCAAGATCTTTATCTACACAATCCTACTCCACTTGACTCCCACTCCCTCTGTAGCTCTACCTAGTGTCACCCAGGACAGAGTTATAAATATACTTCAGTGGGTATTTTACATGTTGCTTTTGGAACAAGGTAATACTGAAATTATTAGAATGACAGAAGCATTTGTTGAAAAGAGCATCTGAAGGTCATCTAGTCCAACCACCTGCCTGAGACTGGACTGCTGCCAATGCAACATCAGGTCAACCATGACTTTATCTTGCCAAGTCCCCAAAACTTCCAATGATAGAGTACCCAAGCCTCTCTGGGCAATCTGTTCTCATGCCACACCACCCTCCCACGAAGAATTTTTTCCTAATGGTCAGACTGAACACCCCGAAGCTGAAATCTGTCCCTCTACTCCCTTGCTACACCATCTGCCACCACTGAGAAGAACTGTAATCTTGGTAATTGCTCTTCAAGCAGTTGTAGTCATATTTCTTGAGTGCACTTAAATTCAAGATTAGTAAACAGCAGAATTCAGTCTACCAAATAATGCAAATATATACCAGTACAGTCCCAAAGGGCTTTAAGCAAATGCTGTTTAAGAGCAACCTCAGATCCCTGCCCAACACTGCTCCCCAGCTCTCACCAGCATTGCTCAATTTACTCTACATGGATGGAAATGCTATTTCAGACTTGGGCATTGGTTGACACTGTCCAAACACACCACTGCTCCTAGGACTGAACTAATCATCTAATCTATTCCTGAGAATTGCAGGCGTAATTAAATATCTGAAATTTATTTCCTAAATGGAAATAAAAATTTCAAAATTATGACATACTATTAAAATTAATATATGCATTATCATGGAACAGTAGCAACATATTCAATTCCTCCTCTAATCTGCATTTTCCTTCCAGAGCATCTGCTTTGTCAAGCTTTTATAGTTTGATACAATCAAATCTTTACTTAAAAAGAACCGCCTGTTTCAATAGCTCCTTTCATATTCTCTTCTCTGCAGAAGAGAATACATCAACGTTCACATCTTAGAAGAAGAGGCTTATTAAATTAACGAGCAACCCCAATCCCTCAACGTACACCCCACAGAGCTCCCTTGGTTTGCTTGGGGCTTTGCACCATAAACTTTCCAAGGTCACACTGGTTTCTTGCTAAGTGCCTGTGACTCTCCACAAACACAAAACTCTAATGAACTGTGTGAAATCTGAGGGGTTTTTTTGCATTTCTGTGTAAAAATATTAAAAAAAAACCACAACAAACGTGTCCTAGAAGTCTAACTTGAACAGCTCCCTGTAAATCTTAAGACTTCTCAGAGAAACTGAAATTCATACCAAAAATGTCAGCCTAAACACCCTGAATATTAAAGTGGCCAATATGTTAAATGATGCATCACAGGGAACTTCTGGGTATTGCATATACAAATAGTGGCTAAAATCATCACTGCTACCTCGAGGATATTGTGTTTACTTGTCTTGCCGTGCTCTGAGGTTTGCAAACATTGAGCAGTGCCACAGAATCACTGAATCACGGACCATTAAATGTACTTCTGGTCAGTTTGCCATGAATCTCCCTCCTCTTCAAAACAATCCTGCTACCCAGCTCCCATATATGCTGTCAGCTACGCCAGAACTCCCTGAGGCTTCCCAAGACCGGTTAGCATTGGAGGCATGGCATCTCTGTGCTTGTGTAGCACCAGGGATGGGACACAGGGCTCTGCATGCAGCGGTACCCACAGGCTGCAGCTACTTCTTGCAAGGGCAAACAGACCCTGTGCCAGGGGTCTGGTGGCTGTAACCCCACAGCAGAGCATGGACACCATGCTTCTGGCTCCTAGCCAGGATGGACAGACACCGACAACAGTGACACTTGGGAACAAGCAAGATTTTCAAAAGGAGCGGTCGCAGCAGCCCCAACATCCTCACAGTGAAGTTACTCTGCTGATAGCCTGAAAAATATAGCCATCACCAAAGGAAGCCAACTGGCTTTCAACTGACCTGAAATAAACCTAAATGAAATAATTACAGGGCTGCTTTCCAAATTCAAATCAGATTAGATGTGAAATAAAACAGTGGTGGAAAGAAAAGTCTATTTCTGATTTCATTGTCAGGCAAAATGTACTCATCTGGCATTTGCACAAGCAAACAAGCAGTGAGCTGGATATGTTGGCCATGCTTTAGTGTCTTTTGATAGAAAGGGCAAGAGATTTCATGGTTAGCCACTCATGCCACCAACTCCTGTTGAGATCTGGAGAAATTAACATCTCAGGTACCATGGGGAGGGGGAAAATGGCCCAGGATGGTCCATACCTCTGAACATCCTCCCAGCTGCTTCCAGTAGACAACTCTCCCCTCCCTTAGATAAAGGAACAAAAATACCCTGTTATTTAGATCCTGCACCTCTGCAACAGCAGCTACATGAGCCGATGAAGGAACACCCACAAGTGATGGTAGCTGCTCAAGACAGAGGGTGTTTCTGGGAAATGGCACAGAAGTGTTCTGCTGTTTCACCTTCCCATCCCAACTGAGACTTTGAAGCAGGGAGAGGAAGCCCTTCCAAAGCCCCGCAGCTCCTGCTGTCCAACCACCATGGGGTCTGAGAGGAGCACAGTGAAGGAAGCACTACAGACACGTACCTTTTGTGGCCAAGGCAGGCTCATCCTACACTGAGGTGTTATGGAGACAGTTTTTTTCTCCTGCCCCAGAGACTTTCCCCTCAGACTCATCTCTGACTGTGAACTTTCTGTCTGAACAGACATGCCCACTGTGCTCACTGCCCACAAAGCCAGCCTCACTCCAGAACCAACCTTTAGCTGCCCAACAGCTGCCAGAGGACAGCATGTCTCCAGGGTGGTCTCCCTGCCCATCCAAGCGGGTCCCAAGCTAATGGAGAAGGCAAGAGGGGGGAGCAGAGAGAGTCCACAAGACAAAACAGAGCAGACATTGCACAGCCCTGAGCCTGCTCCTCTTCTGAGAGAGAACATTTGCTGCCTAATACAGCTTTATCAGATCTCCCCATGCTCAAACAGGAAGAAAACAGGCAGGCGTCATAACGACATCCAAAAAACGCCTAAAGAAATATGCCCTGAAGGATGCCTATCTATTGAGAGCCCTCCCCAGGTGCTAAGCAGCAACCAGGCAGCTCTGTCTCTCCTTCACCACCTCAGCCTTTTCCTCACCTTGTGCTGGTGGCTCTGCATGTGCATCTGGAGGTGCCGTATGTCCCTCTCCCAGCTGGACGCCGCCCCTTCCTTGGCCTCAGCCGTCAGCAGGTACACGTCGAGCCCGCGGTGGTGCTTCACGCTGTAGTCCCCCGAGTGCACCGTGTGGGACAGGGTGCTCCACGAGTCTGGCTCCCTGGCCTCCTCCCTGCCATAAAAAAAAAAACAGGGGCAGGTTAATGAGCGGGTGAGGAGGGGATGCTGCGTGGCAGGACACGCACGCTCTCCTTCACTCTAGACAGTCATCTAATCATCGGCCCGAGCGAAGCACAGCGCCGGCTCCAGGGCCAGACAGACAAATACGCAATGCACGCCTGGCCTTGAAAATTAATGTGATTTAGAGTTAATGCCAGCCACAAGCTTTATTTCACAAGGTCCTTCTCAGGTAGAGAGACCTGCAGTTTTTACCCTAGACCGTGACAGACTAGCAGCAGAGGGCACAACTACTTTTAAAATTGAATTTATCACAGGTGGAGACTAACAAAGCAGCTGCCAAAGAACAACAGGCACCTGAAAGACAGACCTGCAAAGGCACAAGTTGGAGGGAACAAGGATTGACACAGATGCTACAACTTCTACACCAAAACCAGCACACTGCTCACAAACACCCAACCGCCATCAAATCATAGCAATTTTGTCACTCCTGAAATGAATTTAACTTGCTCTGTGAAACTGCCTCTGTGCAAGACCTTCTCAGTATTGTGAGACAGCTGTTCTTTGGCAGCATTATTACGGTTTTTCTTTGCACCAATCAAAAGGAAAAAAAAGGAAAAAAAAGATGCTATAGATCAGAATGAAAAAATAACTCAGTAGGTAAATGTACTCAACAGACATTTCTATTGAGTTGTCTCTTTTTGAATGTCAAACGCTGATTTTGCAGACCTTTCTACTCAAAGCAGTAATTCCTCAGGTCTCACTGAGCTGCACAGTGGCTACACCGGCCCTTTAAGGGTGTGAGGAAACACTGAGGTGCTCTTCTAAAGCTTCAGGTTCACAGATTTCATTTTGAATCAGAACTGTTTCAGGAAACCCAAAATCTGTTTTAATCATCCCAGCCAGAGCAGCTTGTGCTGCGCCCCACCAAGCCCTGCATCCCCGAGGAGAGACATGGAGCCAAACAGGAATGTTGCAGGAACAGAAGATGCTGACCTGCTCAAGGGTGTGAGAAATGGGAATTTCTCTGTCTTCCTTTTTTCCAGGGCTGCGTTTACTGAGACCTAGCCCCAGCAGAGAATTGGGTGGGTGGTTGGACTAGATGACCTTTAAAGGTCCCTTCTAATCCAAACTATTCCATGATTCTACAATGTCCCTTCCCCACTGCAGAGAATCAGCCATCCCTAGATCTCCCTCTGCAGCACAGCTACAGATTTCCCTGGAAGTGGCAGAGTTGTGAACTTTTTTTCAAATAATTTGGAATTAAAAAAAGTACATATACAGCAAACGTATGCCATCAACCAAGTAAAACTACATATAGATTTCAGCTTCTTTACTGACAGGTTTGTTACTTTAAAACTTGCAAACCTTTCTTATGGGCAAGTGCCCACCAGCAAACCTCAGGGCTCTCCGGGATGCCACGCAATTTAGAAAGCAAAGTCATAATGAGCAAATGACACCATGATCAGCAACAGGAATGGGCAGAGCAGGGTGGGGAAACAGTCAAACAGTTCATTACATGGCAGAGAAACCTGTGCAGGCGATGGTGGTGGCAGTGACTGTCCCTGCTCTGCCTTGGTAAAACGATCTACTCCCTTCTGTGACTCATTTTGGGTTAAATCTTACAGGAAATTCAGACAGAGCAAACCTATGACTTCCACCATTCAAATCAATTGCCTTCAGCAGAATTACACTTGATATAAGCTGAATCAATATTTCCATAGAGAAACAGAATGAAGCATCCAGTTTCTGGTGGTGATTAGCATAAATCCACAGAGGCACTCAAGTCAACTGAGCCATTAGAAGTGACTAAAGAAATGACCTTCCTTTATCAAGGAAACACAGACATTTCTGTCTGCAGTCTTTTTCTTTTCAGATGTCATGTATGAGAAACCACTGTACTCAGGGCCACTCTCAGAGTACAACGAGGCAGTGAGCACAAAACCCACAGTCACCCACTCATGGGGACAGCAGCAGCCAGATAAAAGAACTGAGTACAATAAATCTGCTCTACTTTCCCATCAGCTTCAAGGACACTTGGAGGCATCTCCCAATCAGCACCCACAAAGCAGCCTGCGTGACTTGCTGAGCCTCAAAGGACCCTCAGTGACTTCAAAAGCCTGGAAATCTGGAGCAAGATGACAGGCAGAGTCTCCTGTAGCACCGTGAGTGTGCCCCCACCCCTCCAGCAACCCGCCACCTTCACACGGCCCAGACAGATCAAATAATCACTTCTGCTTACAAAGACAGCACTTTCTTTTCATACTCAGGCTGCCAGTCTGTGTTACAATTCATGAAAAGCTTTAAACCTTTTGAGAAACCAAGTTCTTTTTCACATCCAGCCAAGTACAAACTCCAAGCTCTCAGTTTTAGTAGCAATAAGAAAATGAATGGCTCAATCTATTGACTCCTTCATATCATCCCCTTCATAAACTGTTCCATTCCAGCACTATGGTCTGCAGCAGAGAGGACAAATGGGGATCTGCAAGTGTTAACTCATTTTCACACAGCTATTCCTGCTGCTCAGGGAATCACTTCCAAGGCCACTTCCAAGCTCATATGAAGACACTCCTGCTCATTTGTCTTCATACCCTAAGCTTCACTGTTTGTTCCTGTCCTGCATGTCTCACTGCAAACCCTGTTTTTTATTGAGAGATGACAAAAACACACTTTCCTCCAGGAAAAAAAGCTTTGCAGTCATGTATTTTGTACTTCCTGGCTGTGAAAGATGTTTATTTTGTCCAGACTTGGAATTTTTGTCCTGGTTGTATAGAAGTGCATACCCAAGCTGATCTGCTGGGAGATAAAAACAGATATGCAAATATTTACTGCAGATTTATTAACAAAAATATGTATACAAATTCCAACCTTCAAGAAGTCTGAAAATCTGCTTCTGTTCAGCACAAAAATCCAGCTTACTGCAGTTTGCCAGCAACAAAGGAAATCTGTCCATCCTGGGTCAATTCTTTCTCATTCTCCTTTTTCAACAGCTTCCCATCAAAATACAAAACAGATACCAAGTGAACTGAAAATTTCATATGAATCATCTCCAAGCCCAACTTTTGCAGGAGAAAGTATCTTGTTAAAAAAAGCAAGATAGTGTTCACTTAGAGCTGATAGTCTTTACTAGCTCTACCCTCTGCCCAACCATGCCATGCCATGTCCCACTAAAAAAGCCTGGAAGAAGTCCTCCAGCTCTTGCCCTTGCTGCTTTCCTGTTCCACGGAGGTAAACCCAGAAGGAAAACTGCTCGGTGCAAGAAAGGACAGACTTTCCAGCCTGCCCTTCATCTGCAGAAAGGTGGCCCAAAGAAGGATGCCAACCCCAAACAGGGAGATAGGAGAAGCAAACAAAGCTCCAAAGTACTCTCAGGCCATGCCCTGTTCCATCTGGGTGCTGATCAGATTGCTGAAACCACAGGAACACCTCCTGCCCATCTGGCATGTAAGATAAAATGACAGACCATAGAATCACAGAATGGTTTGAGTTGGAAAGGACCTTCAAGACTGTCTAGTTCCAACATGGGCTGAGAGAACTTCCACTAGACCAGACTGCTCCAAGCCCAATCCAAGCTGGCTTTGAACACTTCCAGGTATGGGGGACATAAGTAAGTAATTTTTTTTAATTAACCCTCCCAGCATTGCCCAAGCAGACTCATCTCTTTTCAGGAAGAAGCCACACACTGTACTCATGTGCTGACTCTCTTCTCATCTCGCGGAGGAGAGGAAAGTGCCTGCACCGGGACAGCACAGCTCCTGGCTTCCTGCAGATACAGGCAAGAGATTTTTAAGACAAGGGAAGATAAATGAGAAAGGGAGAACAAAAAAACCTCTGAGTTAAAAGCTCTGCCCACCCTCAAAAGCTGCAGGAACTGTGCTTGGTAATAATTTGAAATTCAGCAGTGCCGGTGTTCGCAGCTGGCGCATCTTCCCGTACCCAGATATCAGGTTTGAACCGGAGGGCAGAGGAAGAGAAGGGAGGAAGAGATCAGAAGATGAAGAAAAAAGCCTCAATGAATTAAGCAAAACCTCATATTAGGAAGATTTATCCCACAGTTTTATAAAGGGGCAAGGAAAGCAGTGTGGGAACTCAAGGTGTTATTTCCTGGGGATTTCCTTCAGATTTCCGAGCTGAAACAAAACAAACTGAGCAGCACTGTCAGCTCTTAGGATCTTATTACAAGCCTGACAACAGCTGTGGGTTTATTCTGAAAGCACCAGCTCCTAGATTCATGTGACAAATTAAAAAACATTTCTTATGTAAGAAAATGCTACATATTGATTGCTAATTTGAATAGTTTTGATATTGAAGGAAAGAGTTGAAGTTCATCTGAAGAAGAAATAATTACTAACCCCTCACAAACTGCAGTAGGTTCCAACACCAAATTGAATTCAGGATTGTATAACCTATCCTTCAATATCAGATTAAATATTTAATAAATGGATTCAAAATATTTAATGCTAACTTTTCGGTCCCTTGATCAACACACTATATAGTAGTAAATTATGGAGAGAAAAAGCTGGCCTGGTCTCTCAACAGTTGTTTGCACACATATCCTAAGGAAGCATGTCCAGTATTTCCTACCACAAAGGGTCTGTGCTCCTAAACTCATGCATTTCTTAGGCTCCTATGTTAATTATACATTAAAAACAAATGTAAAAATACAGCTACAAACTGTCATCAACATATTTGCCAGAAAGTACAATCTGCATTCCATAAGAGAAACTTGTTATTAAATGCACTTTTCCATGTGTTTTATTTTCAGAGCCTTATGTAACAAGAAGGGTACTCTGCTTACGATGTGGAGCTGTTGGTGCAACAGAGAACTCAATGTCAACTTGAAGTCTTATCAGTAAACACAAGAAATTTTAGGTGAATTAATGAAATACACTCAAGAGTGAAAACAGATGCCATTTATTGCATTTGACATACAAAAGTACAGTCATGGAGATTACTCCAGCAAACTGTTTTTCTTTACAGCTAAAAACAGCATCT